GGTTCAAGATTGATCCTTGAAAATATGATTTTCTAAATAGGGAATACGATTCCTAGTTGAAGGGAGAGATAAAATTTTTGAAATTCGCCCCTTATTCCGCAATCTTTTGGGCGTCCATAGGATGGATCTCTCATCCCTTCACTTATCCCATGCCTTGCTTATGTCGCAGTTGCACTTACCACATTGACAAGTGGGATATTGCTCATAATTTCTCAATTCCTCCCATATCATCTTGAGTTTGCCATAGTAATTCAGAATCGTCATACCTCTTTGTTTGCAATTCGCCAATTCAGATTTGAGTTGTTGGACTCGTGGTCCATTACCAACAGAAAATCGCTCCTTTATGTCATCTCAGAGTATCTTCGCAATCTCTGTGTATGTTACGGTTGAACGTAAATTTGGTTCAATCGTATTCAAAATCCATGACACAAGCATTGAATTCACCATCCACCAATCTTCTAATTCCACTGAATCTTCTAAAGGTTGTTTCACTGATCCATCGATGAAGCCGAATTTCTTCTTGGCTCGCAGCGCCGTTCTTATTGCCCGAGCCCATTCATCATAGTTGTCACCTCTAAGCTGGATCTGTGTGATAACGCTCCCTGGATTGTCATTTGTTGATAGAAGATAGGGTGAGATCACGTTCCCTGGACATTGACTGCTGCCCTGGTCCTTGTTTTCAGCCATGTCGAGTATAGTGTTGGTGCCGCTGAAGAGAAACTGCCGCAAAATGTTGATTCGCCGAAAGAACTCGAAGTGCCGCCACTGTTCACCGAAGAAGACGATGAATAGTGATACTTCAGAAACTAGAAGAAATGTTGTCACTGTTCTCCGAAGGAGACGACGATCACCGAAGTGTCGCCGCTTGTCCGAAAAACACAGCGTCGGACTGAAACCACGACAGAACGCTGTCGCCGCTAATCGCTGATCCGAAGTCGCCGCTGATCACTGGTTCGAAGTCGAAGGAGACGACGATCACCGAAGTGCCGCCGCTTTTCCGAAAAACACAGCATCGGACTGAAAAGTACAACGCAGAACTTTGTCGCCGCTGATCGCTGATCCAAAGTCGCCGCTGATCACTGGTTCGAAGTCGCCGCTGATCAATCGTTGCACAGCGCCAGACTAAAAAACCACAGGGCAGAACGCTGTCGCCGCTAATCGCTGATCCAAAGTCGCCGCTGATCACTAGTTCGAAGTCGAAGGAGACGACGATCACCGAAGTGTTGCCGCTTGTCCGAAAAACACAGTGTCAGACTGAAGCACAACGCAGAATGTTGTCACCGCTGATCACTGATCCGAAGTCGCCACTAATCACTAGTTCGAAGTCGCCGCTGATCGATCGTCGCTGCCGCCGTTGATCTCCAGAGTGCCCTGGCTCTGATACCATGAAAAACCAGAGCTTCTCTGATTTTTACTTTCATTCTTCTATTTACTCGGAATGCCGAAATATATACAGTCGAGATCCTATGTTTACAAGGATAAGATGTAAGGTATCGGAGACTCCTGATTCAATTACAACATAGACTCCGAATTCAATTACTAATTGTAATCCTAACATTCTGTGACATCAACCAACACCTTATGGAATATGGAGTCTATCGATTACGTTAGCTGGCATCTTCAACAAGCATGCCAACATGCGGTGAAGAGTATAGTGCACCTTAATTAACAAGCATGCCAACTTGTCTGCTGGCATCTAAAAACAAGCATGCCAACACCTATTTCAAACTGACGGACTATGCCAACTTGTCACGCTGGTATTTACCACCCATCAAGTGGTGCCCTACAGCTTGCCCATCATCATCCAAGCCTATCCCAACTATACATGAATCCTGCTTTGCCATTCCGATCTGTATATAATGTCATGTCCATTGTCACATAAGTGGCACTTAAATCATTTTAATCTAATTCTATGGTTCCACCTATGTTCTTTTTGTTTTGCCCCTACCCCTTCTAGTCCTTTCAACTTACAACAAATTACATATCCTTATAGGTGTTGTTGATGGTCTTCTATGCATCTGACCAAACCATCTTAGTCTACTAACATGCCAATGAACAGAAATAGAGCTACTAAAAAACATAAAAAGCATGCTTATACCTCTCTCTCTCTCTCTCTATATATATATATAATTAATCCAGCCAAGCTCACAAGCTTTTAAACTGAACTTTTTATTGGTCAAGCTCAAATTCAAATAACTAATCGAGCTTACCCCAAAATTCAAACCTGATTTGAACTTAATTAAAATTGAACTTGAATCGAGCCTAATCAAACTTGAGCCTAAACTATTTGATTAAAGATCGATTCAATTACATCCCTAGTTGCTTCAATTCCCTAGGCAGCAGAAATAAATAAGGATCCATCACCATCCATGAAAGACCAAAATAGAACCTACTGTTTCCATGCTTAAGTAAGAGAATTTTTAGATATCGTGAAATTCCTATAACACAAAATTGTGAAGGACGATTTTTCAATTATCCTGATTATACTAAATACTAATTAAATATAACTATTCAAGGATGTGAAAATAGATGTAAATCCAACCAGCAATATTCCTTGTATCTGTTTGATTTTTTTCTGGTGAGAAAAGAGAAGAATAACAGATCAGAAGAGAAAAAAGAGAGGGAGAATAGAAGAAGATGATTCTACGTGAGAGAAGTGAAATTGTGAAAAACGTGGGGCTGTTCCAATGCCCCATTATGTTCTATATAAGCATATTATAATGAATGATAGAATTACAATCTGCAACTAGTAGATGGCAGCAATAACAAAGAACAGAAAATAAAGGCCCAACAGGACCATTACATAATCAGATCAATTGTAAATAAAAATAAAATAAAATAAAATAAAAGAAATCCAATAAGGAAATAATCTCTCATGGCTCAATACATTGATACTCACCCTCAAATTAAGCAATGTTAATCATGTCTAACTTGCTTGCATAATTATGCAAGTAAGGCTTAGGAACTCCTTTTCTGGAGACATCTGCAAGCAGCTCATTAAATGAAATGAAAGGAAAGCAAACTTCACGAGGGGCAACTTTCTTTTGTATGAATTTCCTATCTCAATGTGTTTTGTCCAATCATGCTAAATGAGACTGTGAGTTATATTGATAGTTGCTTAATTATCAGAATACAATATTATAGGCTTCTCATGAGTAATACCCTACTCTCGATAAAGAGACCTACACAATAATTCTAATACACCCGAGCCATTGCCCTATACTTGGCCTCCGCAAATGACTGCCACAAAAGGTTATTTCTTGCTCCTAAACACCAAATTCCCACCAACCGAACCAAAGATAGAATGCCTATCATCAACACAACCAGCCTATTCAGCATTAGTGTATGCATCAATCTTCATTTGTCCATGATTAGCAAAGAGAATTCCCTTGCCAAGCTAATACTTCAAGTAGCATAAAATTCCCTTTTCAGTTGCCAAATGAGTATTTCCAAGTATGCAAAAAGCTAACTGATCACACTTGCAACAAAAGAAATTTCAGGACATGCAATACATAGATAAATGAGTTTACCAACCAACCTTTGGAACATTCCCATATCTTGTAACAACTCACCATTTGAGGTAAACATTTTATTATTAGAACCGATAGGAGTAGATACTAGTTTAACCCCTAATTAGAATCCAACACATTTCCTCTGGGATATGAAAAATGCCAGCATCAGACCTAACTGCCTTGATCACAAGTATACCCTGTGGTTACCCTATGGTCCTCTTACTTAATCATACCCTGTGGTTACCCTATAATTTGCAAAATTACTTGGATATGCCTTCTAAGATAGCCCCACATAACACAAATAAGCTATCTATCAAGGAAACGTTTAGGGTCATTTCACATGCATATTAAATTCTTTTATAATCCCAGTTTTACCCCTCTATATTGTTCATCTTCTTCAAGCTATGCAACCCAAATCTAATCAACTAGGGATTTTCTTCCTAGATGGACGAAATTATTTCGAGCTCATATTACACTAAAAATCACACACACAAACAAGGATAGTTTTCCTAGTGAATATCACACAACCCAAACCTAATACTGGTGATTTTCTTACTCAAGTCAAACAGTTAGAACCACTTCCACTAAAACATTGACAAGAGAATCAGCAAAGAAACTAGTATAATACAATGAAGCTAGCTCTCCACCTACAAGAAGAGGAAATTAATTCAAAGTTTGAAACCACATAAATATTCAATCAAGGAAAAATAGAGTCCAACCTCACCCAACTTACCAACTCAAGAACCATTCACACTCAAAACCACACAAGCAGAATTCCTCTCTACTCAAAATTCCAATGGTACACCTTACTTTAAGTTTAATTAAAGATTTATATGATTAATTTAGATGAATCTTTGATGCACATCGAAACGTGGAAACTGGGGTGTCTTGTAACCTAGATTTTAATTAGTGATTTATATGGTTAATTTAGATGAATCCTAGATTCTGAATTTTTTAGAGCCATAGAACATGTGTGGGATCAGGAGGAGCATCTTTTGAAAATTTAATGAACAATCAAGGGCAATTTTGTCCTATTTCTTCTCTATCAATCTTAGTGTTAAATGCTTTAGCAAAGCATGTTTAAGTAGTTTTTCAAACCACAAGGTATATTAAATTATTTTAGTCAAACCACAGGGTATATTTAAGTAATTAGCCCCTTCAAAATTTGCACTGAAAAAACACGTAAGTTTGTCCATCTCCTACAAACCATTGTTCATAACAACTGTGTCATCAACATAAACAATGAGAACAGTAAAAAGGGTACCCTTCCTCCTTAATTAATAGCATGTGATTAGACTGAGGTGGGGTATATCTAACCCATAATAAGTTCCCTCTAAATCTCTAAAACTAGGCCCTTGTGACTGTTTAAGGCCATGAATATATACTAGCAAGAAATAATATAACTAATACTTTGTTCATTTTGGTAATCGGAGCAAAAGTCTGCAAGTAATTCATTTCATACATCAAAATATACCGCTTAGCCACTGGTTTAGCTTTTTATTTCTCAATGGACCCATCAACATTATACTTAACTATGCAAATCCATTTACATTCTACCGACACATAAGAAAGAAATGCAAGACAGGAATAATAGAACAGAGATGTAAGGTTACAAGATAGGTATCTAGAGATACAATGAATAGTAGAATGTCATTTACCCTTAAAGCAATAGGGATATCAAGATTAGGAATCAAGCACTACCTAAAGATCCTAAACCTGTAATCTCATTAATAACTGGTGGTGGAGCAGGCTTTTCTGATGTAGTGGGAACAATCCTCTTATTTCTTTAATACACTTGCATTTCTTTCTGGGCTAAGAGAACAAGGAATAGTATGATCATCAGAACGAATAGAAGTGGAAGGAATATGAATAGGAAGAGGAATATCCAAGGAATCAAGCAAGTCACTATCTCCCCATTAGCAGAACCTTAAGTAGGAAATAGACTCAACAAAAACGATACCCATAGAAATAAACCAACTACCGTTAATTTGATCAAAATAAAACCCTTTCATGTACAGCCATAACCAAAAAAGATAGCTCTTTATGGATTAGTTCAAATTTAGACTGATAAAGACCATGAATGTGAACATAACATTTGCAACCAAAGACTTGAAGAGGAATAAAAAACAATTTCTAATTCGAAAAGAAGAGACTAAAGGGGGATTTGAACCTGTTGAGTTTTGGGCTGATATAACATATTTTTTATTTACATAGCATAGTTAGGGAGTTATTGGGCCTTAGGCCCATTAGTTTATGTTTTAAGATAAGAGTGTTCTTAAGTTCTCGCAAGTAGCCAACTTACCCTTTTCTTCTCTTTCTTTTCTTCTTTCTTTTACAGTTTTTATATCAAAAAAGGTTGTCCAAACTTTTTTACTTCGTATCAGAGCAAGTTTAAAGATTTCTTGAGTTGCTCCATCATGCAGCCCTAGATCGGCCAACTGCATGATAAGGTAAAGGGCTGATCGAAGACTTCAGGTAAGCCCAGTTTTTGGATTTTTTGGTGGAATTGCAATCCCTTGTAGCTGGTTTAGGGTTTTACACCAAAATCAGGAAGACCTGGAGAAAGGGGGAGAGTTCTATTTTAGTAAGACTCTTCAATTTTGACCTAGGAAGTGGAGCTCTAGTTTTCTAGGGTTCCTTGAGGTTTTCTGAAGGGAGCGGTTCAAGTCCTAGCCTTTTTGAAGGTCTCTGGAAAGAGCGACAGCCTCTTCTCTCTCTTCTCCCGCTCCGACGGAAAAAGGAATCTTTGGAGGGAGGGGCTTCTAGGGTTCCAGGAAGGTGTTTGGTGCAATTCCATGTTGCCCCATATAAGTATGAACTTTTTATGGGCTAACACAGCTAAGGAGATTTTGGATGGAGTAGCAAAAACCTATTCACAGAATGAGAATGTTGCTAGAGCCTATCAGTTAAGAAACCAGGTGATTGCTACTAGGCAGGGAAATAAGTCTGTTGTTATTTATTTTTCAGCCCTCAAAACCTTATGGCAGGAGATAGACCATTTGGAGACTATGGTTTGGGAAAGTAGCAAAGATGCAACAACTTATCAGAAGCTGGTAGAGAAGAATAGGGTTTTTGAGCTTTTAGTTGGACTTAACCCTAAGTATATGATATTGCACGACAACATATTCTTTCCCGAAACAGTGTAACTCTCTCTCAGGCACATACCTTTGTGCCTAGAGAGGAGAGTAGGAGGAATATGATGATGAGGAACCCAGACCTTGAGCAATCAGCTATGGTTAGCAAAGTGAAGCCTAAGCCAAGTGGGGACAAGGGTGGAAATGAACCGAGGAAGAAGGACAAAAGGGATTTGATCTATGACTACTGTAAGAAGCCTAAACATACCAAAGATACCTGCTAGAAGCTTTACCACCTTGTACCGAGCCGGCTCAGAAATAAGAAGGGAAATGTGACTGTGGCAGTAACTGGTGATTTATCAGGGCCACCTACTACAACCTCTCTAGAGTCTGATGCAGCAGCTATAGTGAAGGCCGAATTGGAGAGATATGGGCAGTTTCTGAATCAGAAGGATACAGCCAATTCCAACTCATTATTAGGTGGATCAGGAGGTTCTACCTTGTTTGCACACACAGGTAGTTCACATGCCACTACAAATTATGTATCTACTACAAGTAAGGGAGGACCTCCCTGGATTATAGACTTAGGAGCCTCAGAACATATGACTAACATTTTCACCTCATACCACCTCTGCTCTGGCAGAGATAGAGTTTCCATAGATGATGGATCACATGTTCCCATTGCTAGGAAAGGGTTTGTCAGGATAACTAATACCATTAAACTACCTTCTGTCCTTCATGTTCCTAAACTGAGCACTAATCTTTTATCTGTCAATAGCTTGACAAAGAATTTGAATTGATTAGTGATTTTTCCCCTAGACATTGTGTTTTGCAGGATCTGGAATCAAAGAAGACAATTGGGAGTGGTCGTGAGGTGAATGGAGTCTATCTTCTTAATGCACCTCCCAGTCATCAGAGTCATCATGTCAGCCGAAGTATTAAGCCAAAGTCAGTGGGTCAAATTATGCTTTGGCATAATCGATTAGGACATTTGTCTTTTGCTTCTTTGCGTTTTTTTGTTTCCCAAATTGTTTGAGTCTGTCAGTTTGTCTAGTTTGGAGTGTGAGGGCTGTCAACTTGGAAAGCATTGTAGATATTCCTTTAAAGCAAGTAATAAAAGATGTTCTTCTGTTTTTAGTATTGTTCATACTAATGTGTGGGGGCCATACCATGTTTCCTCTATGAGTGGTTATCGGTATTTTCTTCTGTTTGTGGATAATTATTCTCGGCACTCTTGGATATATTTGATGAGATCCCGTGATGAGGTACCGTCTGGTTCAACAGTTCCATCAGATGGTGCTGACACAGTTTGGGGTACGAGTGAAAGTGTTTAGATTAGACAATGCCAATGAATACTTTGAAAAAATCCTGGCATCATACCTATTGGAGCATGGAGTTATCCATTAGAGCAGTTATACATACACTCCACAACATAATGGTGTAGTAGAAAGGAAGAACAAACATATTGTGGAAGTAGCAAGAAGCATGATGTTGAGCTCTGCAGTTCCAGTTCGGTTTTGAGGTGATGCAATACTTACAGCAGTGTTCTTGATTAATCGGGTGCCTTCTCGTGTCCTTGGATATAGCACTCCATTCAGCCTTCTTATTCCTGAGGGGGAGACATTCCATATTCCTCTAAGGGTGTTTGGATGTGTATGCTTTGTCCATGTTCTTGGTCCTCACAGCTCAAAGTTGGATCCCAAGGCGAAGAAGTTTGTCTTC